CTGGTTGTGTTTAGGTGAGGAGGAGACTCTGAATCTGAATCGCCGAAGTTTGGCTGCCATGGAGTCCGGCTACACGTGTGTTCAAGATACGTCCAAGAGTCGGCGACCTTTTCCCCCTATTATTTTTTTTTTACTTTCTTTATTAGTTACTCATTAAATGCAAAATTTCTCTTCATGTAATTTTGTTTTAATCAACTCCATTTACTGTATAAACTACATAGATGATAGATCAGTTCTTCGATTCTCGGTTACTTTTGGATTGAAACCTATGACATTTTGTATTTGATGCAATTTTCATCAGGAATTTTTATGTATGTTACTTAAAATAGATGATTAGCCACTAACAAAACAAATTGAGACATATTACAAAATCACATATCTCTGCCGCAACACAAATTAGACTCATTCTCCCTCGTTGACCTTTTTGGCAATACGTAAGTATATATATTCCCTTTGTGACCCCAAGGCAAAGGCAAACAGAAGAGATCAAATATTGCAGCGATGAGATCTTACGTCCTCGTAATAAGCGTTTTTGTCTTGGCCATGTTCATTACGGTGGTCGAGTCATCGTATGGTGGTGGCGACGAGATACACACTCCTCCTTCACCATCACCAAGTGTTCACTTCGATAAACCCAAGATGCTTCCACCGCCTCCAAACGCAGCTACTTTTCTCGTTTGTCCTCAGTTTACCGCCGCAACATTGATTAGTGTCTTGGCTTTCGTCTTCTAATTAAGACTTTTTTTTGTTTATCTTGCATTTGTTTTCCTTTTTTTTATTATTCAAGTTTTACTTGTTTACGCATGGAGTTTAAGCTATTCTCTTAATATACAACAGTTTGATAAATTTTGCGGTGACTAGTAAAACGAACTACTACACTATCCTCGGTCCATTTAGTTTCATTTTATACTCTTTCAAGTTCAATTGTGGATAACTATTTGTTTGGTAAGACGTTATATATCATCGTTTTTTCCATACTTCTAAGGCATTACATTCATCAACGATATCCATATTCAACCGTCGATAATAAATTGTCTAAATCAGTGAAGATCTGCTTATCAACGAGCCGACTTGGTCCGATTTATCGACAATTTTTGGACGTTATTTGAATATACAAGTAACATAATAAGATATTTGTACATCTCCGGTACACTCTATAAGCAAATACTTTATCGTAGTTTGAAGTTTTGTTTTACAAATTTAAAGAGAATATTTTGTTGTAGGAACAAACACAATAGCAAGCAATCAAAAAACTAAGTTTTTCGTTATAAATTTCTCAACTTATGTTCATCTTTGTTGCAACCATTCTCATTAAAACCTACTTTCAGTCTATCTACATTTTTTGTTATGATATAAGAATGAATTGTATATCTTGAAATTAGAATAAATCCGAGAAAAATTTATAAATTGTTTGATTTGGATAGGATTAATCTATGTAGTAGGTTTATTCACAATGTGATTGGGTCATGAGATTCATAAATATTTTGTTCACACGCCTTGTCTGCATTCAATATCCATTTCATTAAGACTGGTTTCCGACGATCTACTACTTTCCAAATCCAAAGAACTTCTTGAGACGTCCCATGATGACGAGTATGTTCAGGAAGAGCTCGACCGTCGGTCTCTGACACAAACTATTAGGGAATTAGAAAAATGATATGAAACAAAAAAATAAAACTCATATCAGAAAAATAATAAAACCTGCCCAATGAATTGTTCTCTGATGCCTTCCATGTAGACAACAGAATTGATGCCACAAAAGGTAAGAGTTGAGCCACCCTTTACTTTAATAAGGGCTGGAGCATTTGTAATTCATGTGTTCGCATCATGGATTTCATTGAGTCTCAATAAACTCTCAGCGAGGACAAAATGCAGCAGGCGATATGAGTCAACTACTCCATCATCTAAAATAGCCTGAGATGAGGCTTTAACTGTTTGCCAATCAGTGGCAATTCGTGCTGCTTGAATTTTCTCTACTTATACAAAAAAAAAGTGTCTATAGTTGTTAAAAAAAAAGTGTCTACAGTTGTTTTGGATCTGAAGTCTTTTTTACCTGATGCATCTATGCATTTGACACAAGTGTTATATATGGAGTATGTGGCAAGCGTCTGGAATGGAAACGAATTGGTTTTTATATAATTGTTTTGTCGTAACCAAATTCAGTTGTAGATTCATAATGATTACAAGGAATTCAGTTGTGTAATCCAGTCATAATCCAAAACAAATAACATCTGGCCTAACAGTCTATATTGAAGAATAAAGTTGGTGAGATACCTTACAATGAATCAGTGGGAATTGAAGAGATTTCTAGAGTAGATTCTAGTTCATTTGAGCCTTATTTAGTAGAAAATGCAAAAAA